TCTGATAGGCAGAAACCTAAAATGCAGGGTGGTTTTCGCTCTCCACACTGAGGCACACCAGTGACAGGAGAAGGTGGAGGCGAGAGGTCTGGGGACCACACCACCCTCCCCGCAGTGCTCCAGCCCCGCCAGACACAGCTGGGGCGCAAGCCAGCACGGAGCTTCCACAGACACCCTTCCACCCACACGCACTGGCCGCAGGGCCGTAAGGATATCTCACAGGGCCACACACCTTCCCCTGGTCAACGCTGAGGTTTACTTCATGTGCACAAACTTACACATATTTAGTGTGGACAATTTGAGTTTGGACCTGTGCATACACCTTGATAACCATCACCACAAACAAGGTAATGAACATGCCCATCACCTCGGGAAGACTGACCTGCCCAGGTCTCAGCTGCTAAGCCCACATCCCCTACCCTGCAACACGCACGCACACACACACACACACACACACACACAGCAGAAACATACTTTTTGCTTTTCTGGAGGAGGGAGGTCAAGAAAAAACACTTTACCTGTCCTAAGTTTGGGAGCTGCAGCACTGCCCTCAGTGGAAGCTCTGGGGGCCCGTTCTTAGCACTGTCGTGTCCCATCACATCACCTACACGCCTGCTCCAGGGGCTCCTAACGTCACACAGGGCACCTAGGTCAGCACACCTGCAGCCAGCGTGTGGCTGAGTCATGGTCGCTGCCCAGTGTCGCACCCATTGTGGCACGTAAAGTAACCTCTCCTGGCTCATTTCCTCCATTTTATGGAAAGGCTGGGGGGTCTGCATCACCGGGTTTTCAAGAGAATTTATGAAAATCCCTTTGTAAACCTTAAGGTATAATTCAGACTAGTGGAGAAGTGACTGGGATGTTATGAATTTAGCTTCTACAATCTGGCAGGGGAACAGATGTATATGTGGACGGACGGGTGGTCAGGAATTTGCTTTTTCTGTTCTAATTTGTTTCTGCAGCTTTCCAGGAAGCCCCGCTGCTAGGGCACGTTGGCATGCTGGCGAAGGGACAAAAGCATGCTTGGCTAAACTCTGATTACCGCCTCAGCTATCAGAAATGCTGAGCTCATTGACAACATAAAGAAACGTGCACCTGCAATTTCGTGAAGCTTCGCTCTGCACAAAGGTGCTGTGGGGAGTAAAATAACTCGAAATGGATTAAAGACTAGAATGTAAGACCTGAAGCCATAAAACTTCTAGAAGAAAACAGACAGTAAGCTCCTTGACATTGGTCTTGCTGGTGGTGTTTGGATATGACTCCAAAAGCAAAGGCAACAAAAGAGAAAATAAACAAATGGGACCACGTCAGACAAAAAAAGCTTCCGCACAGCAAAAAAAACTACCAACAGAATGGAAAGGCAACCTACGGAATGGGAGAAAATACATGCAAGTCATGTATCTGATGAGGGGTTAATATCCAAAATATAGAAAGAACTTCTACAACTCAGCAAAAATACAAACAATCCAGAGATCTGAACATTTTTCTTTTTTCTTTTTATTTTAAAAAATATATCTTTATTGATTTCAGAGAGAGGAGAGGAGAGGGAGAGAGAGAGAGATGGAAACATCAATGATGAGAGAGTCATTGATTGGCTGCAGCCCGCAACCCGGGCATGTGCCCTGACCGGGAATCAAACCCTGATCGCCTGGATCCCAGGTCGACGCTTAACCACTGAGCCACGCCCGCCCGGGTGAACAGACATTTTTCTAAAAAAGACATACAAATGGCCAAAAGGTATGTGGAAAGATGCTCAGCATCACAAATGACCAGGGAAATGTAACTCAAAGCCACCAGGAGATGCCACCTCATACCTGTTAGGACGGCTGTCCTCAAAAAGAGAAAAGTTAAGTGTTGGTGAGAATGTAAACTGGTGTAGACACTATGGAAAACGGTATGAGGTTCCTTTAAAAATTAAAAATAGGCCCTGGCCAGCATGGCTCAGTTGGTTGGAGATCCGTTCAGTACACTGAAATGTTGAGAATTCGCCTCCCAGTCAGGGCACACACCTAGGTAGTGGGTCAGGGTCAGGGCCAGGGCTCAGGTGACTTGGCTCCCTAACCTCAAAGGGGGGAGGCTCCTGGAGGACATGAGAATGCAGGTCAGGAGAGCAGGGGCTCGGGGACCCCACGCGGGCACCTCTGAAATGCAACTTGGACTCCCCGACACACACACACACACACACACACACACGCACGCATGCACACACTGCTTCCCTCAGCCCAGCCCCAGGTGTAGGCCCAGCTGGGACAGCACACACCCAGAGTACCTGGGAAATGCGTCTGGACTGACATCCTATTAACACTTTACCCGGCTAGCGTTGCTCTCATTCTTTCCAAGACATGGCAAGTGATAAAACTGACCTGGCTGTCACTTTTCCTGCTGGCTCTTCAAAGATCACCGACCAAACAGCACATGCCTGGTCTCTGACCCACTGCTGGGACTTGGGACTCTCTGTTACCCAGCTGATCTACCAGCCTGCCTGCCCACCATCCCCTCGCTCTTTAACATTCTCTTACAACACAGCATCTTCTGGCTTTCCCAGACTCTGCTCTGAGGGTCAGTCCACCCGCCTCGGGCACCAGAGACTCACTTAAGAACATCACCTACAGCGGCTCCCACGAAACCAGAGCTGCCAGGGCCCTGGCCCACCCCACGAGCCCCTGGCAAACAGTGTCTAAAACTGTACTGTATCTATTTTTGCAGCTGCTACAACACAGTGCTAAAATAGTCACTCCAAGAAAAAAAGTCCAGATTCCAGTTGGTGCTCACAATAAATATTTATTATATGAATGGATATATCTTGTGATTTCCCACTGAACATTTTTCTAAACCTCAAAAGTAATTTTTAACAAGTAAATCGGGGTTTTGGTGCAGGTCTCGTGAACCTGTAAAATAATAATTCTCTAAAATTATACAGATATAAATAAATATTTTTGTAAGTATATTTTCATGATTATCTATGTACAGCTCTCCACCTAATCGTACCCAGGCCACCTTTTGTTTGCAGAACAGTAATGGACTCTGGCTGGGTGTCCATGCAGAATATGCTGCCTTGGGTGAGTCTGTTACTTCCCCTGCCTCACTCCTTTCTGAAGGAGGATCCCGGAAATAGCTTAAAGTTTGTTAAAGTCACTGATGATAAAGAACTTCCTAAAGTAGTGTCAGCCCAGCTGGCGCGGTTCAGCTGTTGAGCATCGACCTACGATCCAGGAGATCCAGGTTCGATTCCCGGTCAGGGCACATGCCCAGGTTGCGGGCTCGATCCCCAGTCGGGGGCGTGCAGGAGGCAGCTGATCCATGACTCTCTCATCATTGATGTTTCTCTCTCTCCCTCTTTTCACTCTCCCTTCCTCTCTCTGAAATCAACAGACATATATATATATATACACACACCCACATATATATACACACAAATACATATATATATATATATATATATATATGTAGTGTCAGAGTCTGTTACTTATGAATTACTAATGAATTCTGATGATCAGGTTTGAAAATTTACACTAATTTCTAGCTTACACTGCCACAAAATAGGAGACTGCATTTATAAATGACAGGTCATAAAAGGTTCCACTGCAATGATTATTAAAAAAATTGTGTCCCCATAGGTGGGAGGCTGTTTTTAATGTAATGGAAATCTCCTGGGATTGGACATGAACCACCATAGTGGTGTTAGTCTCACATAAAGTCTGGCAGAGATAGCTGGGAGATCCCTATCAATGTGTGAGGGGGACAGAGGTAGTAAAGCTGGTGAGAGCCAACGTCCTGGAGGGCAGGGTCAGAGTAGCTTAGACTGTCAGGGCAGGGAGAAAGGAGGCGGCTTGGGTCAGGCTGTACAACAGGAGCTCTGAGCTCTCCCTTCCACACCAGGGCCTGGACCTGGAAATCAGGACAAAAACCCCCTAAATACACAGAACAATGGGTCATTTTCTCCAGAAGAAATCAGAAAGGTTAGTGAGGCGGACATCAGGCACTTAGTCCTACCCTCACGAATACTACATATGAATTCTGTGCTGTTCTGGTCAGCCCACATCAGCAGGGAACCTAAGTGAAATTAAAAATCACCCCCTCCCAAAAAAGTGGTCAAGGAGAGAAAAACCTATTTACAAAATTTTTGGTAATAGTTTTAGAACAAATGAGAGAAAATTCCAATTTATACTAAATTAAATAAATTTACAGAAATCATACCAAGAGATTTAATCGTCTAAAGTTATAGATTCCAGAATAGTTTAAACAGTTTGTGAATAATAGCCCGAGGTTCTGAAGGGAAGCCGGTGATCTGGGTGCTGTGGAGCTGTGTGCACTGGGCTGGAGGTGGAACTGCACCTCTCACACAACACTGCTCACACCCAGCCAGCAGCAGAGCCGGCCACCGCATTCCTTATGTTCTACGTCAAACGCCCCAAACCCTCTGCCAGGGCTAAGAAACGCTCCTGTCAGACGGGAATATGACTGTCCAGTACCTGTTATTACAGGGCCCCTGGGCCTCAGAATCCACCTGCTACATTACAGACATGGTTTTATTTTCACACACACAAGCAGATTTACACACAAACAGGTAAACACCTTGGAACCTTTTATCTGTTTGCATCTTTTGATGTAGACTTCTCAGCATCAGAGTGGAAATAAAAGCCTTGCTAGACTAAAAGTGTCCTGAAGGCAGTTTTCCTTATCTTGGGGCTCCCAGCACTACCCGCAGAAGGCCCCACCCTGCAGAGATCTGAGAACTGTCTGTTGGGCCACAGCGCTGCGCGTGAGGGTGGTCGGCAGGTTCGGGGTGCCCGCGCGAAGGAAGCCACCACACCCTGAAGCAGGAACAGTGAATGTAATGTTTCAATCAGGTCCCTTAGAAACAGAAATATCGTGTGGCTAAACAATTCAGGGCTATATTGAAGGCCATTTTGCCAATGTAAAACCTGCTGTGCAAACCAAGTACTTCAGGCGAAAGCGGCCACTTGTCCTGGTTTTAGAGCAGAGAACGGCAGACTCACCTTTGGCGCTCACCTACGAGAGATAACTGGCCCGACGCAGAGCTCCAAAGGCGACTGCAGCGGGTCACGCCTGTGCAGTGAGTCAGAGCCGCAGGGATCCTCCGCTCTCTCAAATCCAACCCAGGCTTCCACCGAGGACTCTGGTCTGGGAAATCCCTCGTAGAAAAGGGACGTAGGAAATCTGAAAAGGAACAGAACGTTATATATTGGGATGCTTGCTTGTTTGATGTTAAGTAATTGCTTGAGAAACAACTGATTATTGACCTGAAACAAGCATTTTTAATAAACCCCAGAAAAAAGTTGCTTTGTACCTAGTGATCTCTACCCAAACACAAATGCTCCCTCCCACCTCTCCACCTTCTAGCCCCCGATCAGCTCTGAGGCCTTGGTGTGGGAGGCCAACCACACACTCTGGAAAAAAGGGGTGGAGAGTGGGGACAGCAGACCATACCAGGGACCCTAGTTCCCCAGTCTCTTCAGAGTTCCTAGCCCACTGCTCCCCACCACACCCTTCGAGGCCAAAAACAACAGGGAGGCTGCCAAGTGCAAAGGAAGCCGGTCTGGGGGCCTAAGTAGGGAGACGGGTGGCGGAGAGCACTGCAATTATGCAGAGACTCGTCCCTGTCTTGGAGTCTCTTGCACTGGCCACTTATTGAGAGAGGCCACCTACTGGACCCACAGCCTTGTGCTAAAAACATCCCTGCAGGAAACCCAAGAATAACATCCCCAGACTACCAGGAGGTTGGATGGGAAGCTGGCGGTGACACAACCCTCTCCTCCTGGCTGTGGAGTCTGCTTTCCCCTGACGTCCCTCCACCTGGCAAACTACTTTCAGTCCTTGCCTCATATTTTCCAGGGTCCCTGAGGTCTGTGGACCTCCAAGTGAGTTCACTGACATTTCTAACTACATTTCAAACCCAGAGGAGATCTGTCCTGATAGCTCGCTCACGGAGATCTATTAATTCATCCTTGGCTTGACTATAACCCAAAACATTAAATATCCCACAGAAAAATCGAATTCTATTTTAGTCAAATAGACAAAGATAATTCAAGTAAGGCTATCATAAAAATGTTATAAGGCAAGTTCATAAATTTTTATTAAAAACTTCATCTTCTTTATGTGTTCTCTAGCATTATTTTAAAGGGTGCATGATCTTTATTAAAAAATATGATTAAATGCAAGGAAAAGGTGATAACCAAGCATAATGGGAAGACAGGCTTGGGCAAGATGTTAAATGTATACCAGGATGACCACACCCTTCTCTCTGCTAAGTGTTTACAATAAAATGACAGGTTCTTTGGAAATGGAAGTTTTGGCATCTGGACTGACATCTGGACCAAGGATTGTTACTTCTCGCTTCTGGCCTAATATATGCCACTTACTCAAGAAAGCCACCCAATAATACAGCCAAGCCCACCAACTCTCCATCCACGTTGGTATATTAAGTGGTTCTTTTAGAGATAAGTTGTATTTTTAAATATTTAATTGAAAAGTGAATTTGCCTGACGTCAGGCCCTCCTGGCCCAATGCTGGGGGAGGTTGGTGTGCAGTCTGGGTTGTCCCAATATGGGCCTCCCTCTGCACACTGTGCTCTCGGGAGCTCTGCATTTAATCCTTCCAATAACCTGCCAGGATGGATACTAATACCCACTTTTGCACGAGTTAATTTCTCAGGAAGGTTTTCCTTAATAGGCTATAGAGTTAGGAACGCAGGCCTTCAAGACGCTACATCCACCATACCAACAGCAAACCCACTGGGGGCACCTGATCTACCCCCGAAGCGAAAGAACAGCCCAGTCCTTAGATACTGGGTGTGGTGGGCAAGGTGGAAAAGAGGGAAGCAAAGAGCAGGATCTGAACTCACAGAGGAGGTCAAACAAAGTGACAAAGTGACACCCTTTTAAGTTCATTTAAGGGTGCTGATGGCCACCTGGGATTCACGTGTAAAAAAGGAAGGTGCAGTGTTTTCCATGAGAAAAGCATTTCACTGGCAAATAGTCAATGCACTAAGCTTACACTTAAGAAGAAAAACAGTGATGAAAACCCTTCCCTCTTGGTTTAAATGAAGCCTGCCCACCGCTTCTGTATAACATGGGGTTATTAGTTCATTCAAAACCTCGGTTAAGGACAAGCTCTTCAAAGCAGGTCTTAAGTACAAGGTGTGATCTAAACCCAGCGGAAAAGCAAATGCTTTTGTGTAAAAAACAATCTCTATAAACACCACCAGGTACAAGGTCACTTGGACCGCAGAAGGCCTTCAACTGAGAGTTAATTCAAGATGCTCTGCATGGGCCACGGCAGGCGAGTGGGAACACACCACGCCGGGGAAGCTTCCCTTTGAAAACATTCCCCACTGGCCTCCCTTTAGAACGCAGGAGGAGGGCGAGCGGGCAGGAATGAACACACACCAAATGCATCTCTTCTTCTACATTAATTTGGACCCTTAATAATACAAAATTTCACCCCTGCAAAATGCAAGGGGTTATCTAAATTCTCTGTAACACTGAGATTTTCTTTAGAAACTGTTTTAAAATGCCTGAGCCACAACCAGGGGCTTTCCCTCATCCTTCTGGGGGCGCTGAGCCGCAGTGCCTACTTCATCCAGGCTTGCGGGCCTCAGCGGTTCATCTGCAGACCCAGGACATCCATCACTAATACGCTTTACTCCAGTGGACCATAAGGGCTAGTAGAGGGTAGGTGCCCCATGGTGCTGATGGCACAAAGCTGTGGCCTTTGGGGCACAATACGGCTGGGCGATTTGCTCCATGTACTTTAGAGCCGGCAGATGTGCCCAGATGACTTGAATCCCCCAAAAGGCTCACGTTCTGAGAGCTCAGGTGATCCCCCCTCCCCTTCCTCCTGACTCAGGAGGCCGAGTACCAGGCAGGCAGGGAGGGAAGAGCGCGTCCTGGTCCCCGTGTGGCACGGCGCTGCTGTTCATCTTCCTGCAGCCTCATCTCACTGACAAATCTTACTGTTCAGCTCAGGAACCAAAGCACCACATGTCCCACAGCCAGGACTTGAACCCACACTCATCTGATTTCAAAGTCCAGCCCGCCTTTCTCCCGCAAAGGTCACCACGAAAGGTGGCTTTAGTCTTGAGACTCAGGCAAAGGTGGCTGCCACTGCCATCTGACCGGCACCCGCCTCTCACGTCAGGTAGGGGCTGTGCTGTGCTGGAACAAAGGAGCCAGCTCATGGATGCACACTCCGCCTTAATTTCCAAAGGTACTGTTTCCCTTAGATGTCAGGGCAGCAAAAAATAATTACTGAGTAACAACATTACCTGACTGGGCTAGTCGGGCACACAACCTAAAGACTTGCAGGTTCCATCCATCAGGTGTGCATCTCACCTGAAGCTTACATGCAAAGCACACCAAGAGCACCACCCAGACCCCAAATCTGTAGACAGATCTACAGTAGCTGTCATTCTTCTTTCATTTAAAAAGAAAAAAACCAATGCCCATGTGATTGTATTGCAGGCCTCTGAGCTCACATGCTAGTCTTGCCCCTCCCCCGTGACACTGGGGACACCTCTCTTCAGAGCAGGTAGGCCTGCAGTGGCCTTGGTGGCTGTCCAGCTCAGAGTGAATATGGAAGGTCAGTGCCTGACCAGAGCAGCACAGGCCAGGCTGTGCAGCACGGGTTGGCGAGCTCTGGGAGGATTAGACATTTCAGTCCCGCTGATCTAATTGATGGAAAACTTGATTCCAGTGGGAAAATGCTGGTTTCAGACACCAGTCTATACAAGAGTCTCTTTGAACGGTTTAGCCAAAGTTCAACCCTGGTTTCCTCCCCCATGTGGACCAACACCTGCAGCATACAAATACTTATCGATGTGACACCCAAAGGCTTCCAGGGACATGATCTCCTCTCCCTTTCACCACCCCACGCACAGCGGTGTCCTCTCCCTTTCATCGCCCTATGCATGGTGGTCTTGGCTACCTTTCATCACCCCATGCACAGTGGTCTCCTCTACCTTTCACCACCCCATGCACGGTGGTCTCAGCTACCTTTCATCACCCCATGCACGGTGGTTTCCTCTACCTTTCATCACCCCACGCATGGTGGTCTCCTATACCTTTCATTGCCCTGTGCACGGTGGTTTCCTCCACCTTTCATCACCCTATGCACGGTGGTCTCCTCTACCTTTCATGGCCCTGTGCACGGTGGTCTCCTCCACCTTTCATCGCACCATCCACGGTGGTCTCCTCCACCTTTCATCGCACCATCCACGGTGGTCTCCTCCACCTTTCATCGCCCCATCCATGGTGGTCTCCTCCACCTTTCATCGCCCCGTGCACGGTGGTCTCCTCTACCTTTCATCGCCCCATGCACGGTCGTGTCCTTCACCTTTCATCGCCCCATGCACAGTGGTCTCGGCTACCTTTCATCGCCCCATGCACGGTGGTCTCCTCCACCTTTCATCGCCCCATGCACGGTGGTCTCCTCCACCTTTCATCGCACCATCCACGGTGGTCTCCTCCACCTTTCATCGCACCATCCACGGTGGTCTCCTCCACCTTTCATCGCCCCGTGCACGGTGGTCTCCTCTACCTTTCATCACCCCATGCATGGTGGTCTCCTCCACCTTTCATCGCCCCATGCATGGTAGTCAGGGCTCAGAGAATAGTAAGGCCACAAGCTAGTTTCCCAAATTATCAGTTGATAAGAAGTTGATTAATAAAAATGGGGTGGGGGATACTATTTCTAACTCTCTGAATAGCCTCACAGGGACACCACATGCAGCTGAGGAGGGTCCTGGGAAGGAGGTAGCTGGCCAGCCGTTGTGCTCTTTCTATGTCCTGAAATAATGACGATTTCTGCCTTCAAGTGTTGCAGGACTGAGAAAAGAACGACACTGCAGGCAGTGTGTCGGCCATAGGTAATGAGATGAGAAACACAGCAGAAGATGGGTCAGGAGATGGGGTCCAGGCCCAGCTCAGCCTCCAAACGCCCTGTGGGATCTAGAAACTATCCCCTCATCCATAACCAGGCTCCCTCAGTTCCAGCTCTGTAGCTTTGAGGCATATGGAATGGACTTGAACATTATAAAAAATTGATGATGTGGTGCTAAAAATTTATTAAAGCTTATCTAAAACACCATGGCAAGAAGGTCATAAAGCAAATCTTAGTAGGAACGTAAATGTTAAGAGCCTGCGCCTAAAAATTCTAACAGATTGGAATCTGATGAGCACCACCATT